TTGTCTAACATTATTCTTCATATATCGTCCATTTATAAATCCAGACTGGTCCATATGAATAATCTGTTTAATTACTTGCATTAGTCTATTGGCTAGTATTTTTGCAAAGATCTTATAATCCGTATTCAGTAATGATATTGGTCTATAATTTTTAGGTTGGGTCATATCTTGGTCCTCCTTAGGTATGAGTGAGATAAATAGATTACATTTTCTTATATTTGGAGCATTGCAATTTAAAGTTTACATTTTGACAAAACACTACTAAAAACATTTTAATTATTGCATTTATACTACAGGACTTATTTAGTACACAATTTAAAAATTAATTTAACAGAATTTTAAAGTACTTTCCTAATAGATGTTTCTCCCTTAAATAGAAATTGAGAGCATTAAGTTGGCAAAGCTGCAGCAAAAAGCAGAGGCAAAGCGGAAAGCTACTCCAGTTGTTGGAGATATGCATTCATTGATGGATGCTCTGCCTGAGCTTTCAGATCTGGTGACAGTAAGCAAGTTCTCCAAACAGTGTAATAAAATGTAAGTGCTTTGAGTACTTTAATAGATTGCTCTGATTCCTCATTTAAGCAAACTGTGGCTGTATATAAGAAAGCTTCAAGGTCCTAAGGAAGTGATGGCGAACCTTTTAGAGACCGAGTGCCCAAGCTGCAACCCAAAACCCACTTATGCATCGTCGAGTGCCGGGTGGGTGTGGCCCATTGGCTGGGCATGGCCAATTGGGTGGGCGTGGCTGCGGTGGTAACGGCAGACTGGGTGGGACTAAAAAGTTCAATCAATCAATTCCAACTTTGCAAGATCTTTTTTTTTCCCACGAGAAGTTGAAATTGACTGATTGAACCTTTTTTTTTTTTTTGCACATGGCGGTGGAGGCCTAAAGTGAAAAGGTTTTATAAAACCCAGCTGAAGCCCTAGGACTGGGGCGATGGCGCAGGTGCCCACAGAGAGGGCTCTGCGTGCCGCCTCTGGCACCCGTGCCATAGGTTCGCCACCACTGTCCTAGGGCCTAGCTTTGCTTAGTTAAGTTAGGTTCTAGATACATAAAGTAAAAAAAAACCTCACTTTTTGCTGTTAATCAAAATTATGAAATAGCTTATTTGTTAGCTCCTTGTAAGAAGTGTGTCATGGTTCCAACAGACAGAGACGAATAAAGCAGAACTCCGAGGCCAAGTGTGCTTTCAAAATTTTCCAATCCTTTGTAGACTGAAAGGATGCAAAGGTACATACTTGCTTCAAAAGAGATGGGCAAACTCCTGAAGGCATGTTTAAACTAAAATAATGGCTAAAGAACAAGATTTAGTACCCTGAACATTGAAGGTTAAGGTAAATATTGGTAAATAATTGAAAATGTAAAGCTTGAACAATGATCTTTAAGGTTATTATTCTAGAAATGTATGTCTACAGACCATTTTTCAATAAATTTATCAATTTGTCTTAAAATAAATTCTCAAACTTAATTTATATTTTTTAAATAATTGTTTTGCCATTGTGTAATTTAGCAGCTACTCAGTTGATAAGTCAGTAGGTGAAAAAAATGAGGTTTCTGGGTTATTTTCAAAGTTTGAATTAACAGAGTTTTTCCTGTCACAGAAATGCTACTTATTTGGAGTTCAAAGTAACACAAAACTGTTCAAAAGTGATGAACACTTTTAGAAAACAAAACTATGGGCAGAATGCATTAACCATTATTTTTGTTTTTTTTAGGCAGAAAAAGAAGAAAGTGTTGACAAATTTCAACCAGATGAAATCAGCCCAGAAATGCAAAGTCTTGTAAGTATTTGACAGGAAAAGAAATCTCTTGAGAAATGACACCAAAATCTGCTGTATCACAATTGCAGGGCAGTTCTGTGGTTCTGCTGTGGGAAAAGTAGCTGCACCGGGATGTTAACCAATGTGATGAAGTTGTCCAGATTCAGTTCATAACTAGTAGCAAGGCAATAGCAAAACAGCTGTAAAAACAAATTCAAAACCAATAGTACTTGCACCATTTCACATTCTCTAGCAATTTGTTGCTATCAAACTATCATGTAGCCACTGACATTGTCCCTCATTAAGCAGTGCATTAAAGATGCTTATACATGTTGACCAGTGATGTTCCATTACTTGGCATTTAGTATGCAGCATATACTATTGATATTTGATCTAATTTGCTGTTTAGAAATTAAATAGAAAAAAAACCAAGGCAATCCAAATCCTGGTAACAAAGTGCCCATGATAAATAACAACAACAACAACAACAACAACAACAACAACAACAACAACAACAACAATAATAATAATAATAATAATAATAATAATAATAATAATAATAATAAAGTTGGAAGGGACCTTGGAGGTCATCTGGTCCAACCCCCTGCTCGGGCAGGAAACCCTATACCATTTCAGACAAATGGCCGTCCAGTCTCTTCTTAAAAACTTCCAGTGTTGGAGCATTCACCACTTCTGGAGGCAGGTTTTTCCAGTGGTTAATTGTTCTAACTATCAGGAAGTTTCTCCTTAGTTCTAGGTTGCTTCTCTCCTTGATTAGTTTCCATCCGTTGCTTCTTGTCCTGCCTTCAGGCGCCTTGGAAAATAGCTTTGCTCCCTCTTCTTTGTGGCAGCCCCTGAGATTCTGGAACACTGCTATCATGTCCCCCCTCGTCCTTCTCTTCATTAAACTAGACATACCCAATTCCAGCAGCCGTTCCTTATATGCTTTAGCCTCCAGTCCCCTAATCATCTTTGTTGCTCTTCTCTGTACTCTTTCTAGAGTCTCAACATCTTTTTTACATCGTGGTGACCAAAACTGGATGCAGTATTCCAAGTGTGGCC